TTCAAGAGAGACACTGCGAAAGAGATTAGGTAAAATGTCGTTAAAGTGTCGCTCCACAATGAAAAAACCTCTTTTGAAACCAGAACATATCGAAAAACGACTAAAATGGGCAACCGAAAATTTGGACACTGATTGGAGCAAAGTTATATACACAGATGAATCATCGTTTTGGTTGTCGAATTCCCTCACCCATACTTGGTGCACACGCGAAAAAAGAACGGTGGTTCGCACGGTTAAGCATCCGCAAAAGGTGCATGTGTATGGAGCCTTCTGTGAAGCCGGTTTTGGTAAATTAACCGTGTTTACTGGTATCCTAGAGAAGTATTGAATGCGCCAGTTGTACAAATCGACATTGCTCCCCACCGCCAAGAAGTTCTATGGCAACGATACGTCAAAATGGATTCTACAAGAAGACAACGACCCAAAACACAAAAGTCATTTATGTACTGCTTGGAAAGAGGAAAATGGGATTCAACAGATGGATTGGCCGGCTCAATCTCCAGACTGCAATCCGATTGAAAACGTTTGGTCCATCATGAAGCAGAGACTCAAAGGCAAACATATTCGAAGCACAAAACATCTCACTTTGTTCTTGAAGCGCCAGTGGGACAGCCTTTCGCGAGAATATGCTGAAAATTTGAGCAAAAGTATGCCTTCACGCTGTGCCCGTGTTATCGAAAAACAAGGCGAATGGATTAACTATTGAATTGTTTGCGACCGAGCTGAAGGCTCAATAAAAATATCTCGAAAGAGAAATTTGAAAAATTATTGTGTTTTCACTTAGATATCCCTTATCGTCTATAACTAGACAGACTGTATAGCACTGACTATGCCCGTAACCAACCATTCGTTCTAGCGTGTAGATATTTTAACAAAGTGAAACAATCGTTCTTGGAATCTGCGTCAAGACGAATACTTAGTTATAAGCTGTTGAACTTGGACAATCGTGATTCATTGTTAAAGAACGAGGCGTAAATTCTTGCAGATTTTTATACCATTCTGCTTTCAAGCAGTAGTGGAGAAGGTACGGACTCAAATACACTGTACTTCAGTACTATTGATTTGTAAATAATCATGGCGGCTCCATATTATTGCAAAAAGCACAAATGGTATGAAGCCTTCACACGTTCTTTGAAATGTAAAGAAAATTGTATAGTATTATTCAGTCTGTGATTAGACGGTGAAATAAATAAATAAAGAAAATCAGAAGAATATTGTTTTCTTTGTTCTAACTTCGCTTGATTTTCTGCCTTTGTTTATAAGTAGATCGAAAATAAATAATTATGCAATTCACCTTAAGACGAATATTTACTAGCCAGAACATTTATAAACCAAATCAAATGTATTTTATGTATATCTTTTAACTTTTATGCAGTTCCTCTTCTGATCAATGACAAACTCAAACAATAAAGTCTGAGATGAAATTCTCATGAAAAATTCGCAGAATATATGAAAAATGTACAAAATATTTACAAAAAATGACAAATCGTCCAAATATTTATTCATCCCGAAAAAGGACAGAAATATTTATTTAAAAATTTATTATTTAAGTAAATATTTTGGTTAGCCCTGGTCATTTTATACTTTTACATTTTATCAACTTATGCAATCGTTTTCATTCTTTTTCCATTCAGAAAAGCAACAACGAGCCTGAACTTGAACAGTTTATTACGAATGGCACAAAAGCAAAAAACGCGGGCAAGAAGCGTAATCGCGACAAAGAGTCAGCTGAAATTAAACCCAAGTAAGTACCGTTCATTCCGCCATGCATCCAGTGTTGTAAAAGATGACGTGAAATTTATCTAGATATAGATAAGATATTATCTTTTATTCTTTAGTTATCTTTGACATTTTTCTATGAGAAAATGGAATTATCTTTTAAATTATCTAAAAAATTCGAGATAGATAATGGAAAATTTATTCAGATAAGATATCGAGATCAATTGCATTCTTATCAAAGTAATATAGATAGATAAGATTAACTCCGACAACACTACATTTATTAATTACATCATATTTTAATATTTTTATTAAACAATGTAAAAAAAATGCATTTTTCTTGGAGACGACAAAAGAAGGCAGACGGTAGAGTTGAATTACTACTACCGAACAGGAACGAAGTGAAATTAAAGCAATATAACACGACACCCGATTACATTCAAGGTGAAATGCGCGATTATCAATTGAATGGCTTGAATTGGTTAATCACAATGTGCGAAAATGGAAACAACGGAATTTTGGGCGATGAAATGGGTCTCGGCAAAACCATTCAGACCATTTCAATTTTTGGCTACATGAAGAACGTCAAGTGAGTATTTTGAGGAAAATGTCATTCAATGAATAAAATTATCATCAATTCGAATGATCATCACATTCAATCATTGTCAATTTCAAGTTCCATCGAGATTTTTTGTTATATTTCAAGTAATTTTTCGTACATAGTACGTAATGTCAATTTATTCGTCTAATAGTCCAATGTTAATCGACCCACAGGAAAATTAACGGGCCATTTTTGGTGGCCGCGCCGTTGTCAACGCTGCAAAATTGGTTGAACGAATCACAAACATTTTGCCCATCGCTACGAACGTTTGTATTGCATGCGTACAAGGATGAACGCGCAAAATTGCTGGAAAAATTGAAAAAACCTGAAGACTGGGATCCATGCATTACATCCTACGACTTCCTTCTGAAAGAATATCATAAATTCCGCAAACCGAATTGGCAATACGTGGTTTTGGACGAAGGTCACAAGATTAAAAATGAAAAGACAAAAATGAATGGAGCATTAAAAGCAATCGAGTCAAAACACCGGCTCATGCTCACCGGAACTCCATTGCAGGTAGGGATCAATTTTCAGTCATTTAACAAATAAATCAACGAAAAAAGGGCATTTCCTTTTGAAATTTCCACCTTGCTGGTTGATTATTTGACAAAAACTCATTGCATTTTCAGGTTGAAATTGTACTTTCAGAACAATTTGCATGAGCTCTGGGCTTTGTTGAACTATCTGTTGCCGAATGTATTCGCCGATTCGGTTGATTTTGATTCGGACGATGGTTTGAGTGGCAATGAAACAATCGTCAACCGTATACACGCCATTGTGAAGCCATACATGTTGCATCGCATCAAATCCGACCTTGAAAAACCATTACCGATTAAGCGCGAATTTCATCTGTTTGTGGATAGCACAAATACAAACATATGGAAAAGTACAAGCAAATGAAAGAAACAACATTTTCGTCGAATTGCGCAAGGCAGCAAATCATCCATATCTAATTGATAACATCGAACCTAGTCCACCTTACACAACCGATCAACATTTGGTCGATAGTTGTGGCAAGATGAAAGTGTTGGATCAATTACTTGCACAGCTCAAAGCACAAGGATCGCGTGTTGTTCTCTTCAGCCAGGCCATACGGGTGATGCTCGAAATAATTGAGGACTATCTGATGTGGCGCGGCTACAAATGTTGTCGATTGGATGGTAACAACACGTACGATGAGCGTACTAAGAGCATTGACGAGTTCAATGCGAAAAATAGTGAGAAATTCGTATTCATCCTATCAACTCGTGCTGGTGGCCTAGGTAAGTGTCGATGAAACCGATTAAATGACATTCAATTACAGAATGAAGCAATTCAAAGCATCATCACCTATTCAACAGGCATCAATTTAACTACAGCTGACACGGTGATCATCTATAACTCGGATTGGAATCCGCAATCGGATTTGCAAGCGATCGACCGCGTCCATCGCATTGGCCAGGAAAAACAAGTTCATGTTTATCGATTGATAACGAAAAACACGATTGATGAGCGTATCGTTCAACGCGCTGAAATCAAGAAACGGGCTTCAAACGCTGTCCTAAAAGAAAAAAGAAACAATGCACACTAGGGTGTTTTTGGTATTAAATAAACAGAAAATGGTAGTTTTAGTTTGATAGAGCAGAGAATTTAGAATCGATTTCATATATTTTTGTTCGGAATCAGTCCAAGATGCCACTACCCACAAGCAAAACAAATGTTCGTCGAATTTTGAGGTTATATCACTATTGGCTAAAACTAATGTGATATTTTCCACTTTTTTCGATTCAATCCCACTGCCAGAGATGAATTCTCAATGCAAACATTTATTTTGACGTAATTTTCATTGGAATAAGTGGCCAAATAGTCGAAAATTCACACAAATTGTATTGCCTCTTTGACCGGTTCTTCAATCATAGAAAAAACACCGACAAACTCATTTTTTCACAGAAATTCATTCAATGGATTTGAACTAGACGAT